CAGATTGTTGGGGGCAATATGCTGACTCTCTGTAAACCGCTTAGAGAGGCCTGAAAGGCCTATGAAGCGGTATATAAGTCTATTGCTATTGCTATGTGCCTAATGTTTTTTTTTAAAGGGTGAAATAAGACTGGAAATATCTGTGGTTACTCAGGAGTGTAGTTTCACGAGATGTTTTTACCATGTACTGTGTTTCCCCGAAAATAAGACAGGGTCTTATTTTCTTTTGACCTATGAAATAAGCACTTGGCCTTATTTTCAGGTCTTATTTTTGAGGTACAGGAGGCGGTGAGTGTGGTCACCTCATGGCTGCTGCTGTGTTACAATATTTCCAGGAAGGGCTTATTTTTGGGGAGGGCTTATTTTAGTGCATGCGCTCAAAAGCCCAATTGGGCTTATTACCTGGGGAGGTCTTATTTTCAGGGAAACAGGGTAGATTCCTTAGTGCTAAAAATTATATTGGATTTGGACCTTCCCAAATGAAAAGCCTGTGCTTCTTTACAGCAAGAGTGACACAACTCTGTATTAGAACAACAGTTTTGCAGGCTGTAGGTCCCAGACCAAAGACCCTGACATCTCCAGGGAAAAGGACCAAAGAAAGCTGTCAATCAGGGAAGACCAAGAAAATAGCGTTAGATGGACCCACAGCACAAGCCACAGTGGAATTGTCAGGGATAAGTGAGTTAAGTGAACGCAGCCATGACTTCAAAACAATTTTGGCTTGGCATGATGTGTGAACCTATCCTATACAGCTTAAGCTTTAGACTGAAGGGTTCCATCACCAAAAAAAGTCTGGAAGCCACTGGTGTATGGGATGTCAAAGGCCAATGCAATTAATTACATGGAATAGGAAGGAGGAATAAGACTTTTTTATCTCTCTTCACTCAACAGAGGTAGACTGGAGAAAAAAAACCAAGTACTGTCAGCCCAGGACACTGCTAAACCCTGTTTTGCATTCAGGGAAATGTTTATGTACTTATTTAATTTGCTTATCCACCCACCTTACGTCAATTTTAAAAAAAATCAGCAAACACCCAACTGACCAGGGTGCACCCCTTGAAATGGACATGGCTTTTGGCACCCTTTTAGAAGAGAGATCTAGGAGGCTGGGATGGGGTGTGTGGCCTTAATTTTGCTCATTCCTCCCCAAATCTCCTTCATTCCTTCCTGCCTACCTTTGCTGGATCTTTCTCCGGTTGTCAACCTGCTCATCACCAGGGCTTTTCAATCTGCCTCCCTTGCCACAAGCCGCTCTGTTGTTGCAGCCCCTGCTGCCTTTGCCAAGAAGCGTGCCTGGTTCTAGACCGGCCACAGCCCAGTAGTGGGCCATGGCCCGGGGGTTGGTGACCCCTGCTCTAGACTCTCCAGAATTTGTGGTGTGTTCTTGCACAACTTGTGGAGCCTCCCAAAAATCATGCAAGAATAGGTGCACATACTTTTGTGTGGTTTTTCAAAAGAGGCTGCACAAGAGCATTCTCTGAAACAGTTTCAAGAACAAACGCCTCGATTTGTCTGCATTTTTTCCAATGCCAGAGATGGAATCTACATAGCTGAGAGTGATTTGCTGTTCTGGATTTCACATGCCACTCAGGATCAAAGCCTAGGGCAGGAGCATTCTCATCTGCACAGGAAGGACACACATTAAAGCCTGCACGTACACAAACCACATCCCCAAGCTCACCCCAAGGACTGGTCCCCCTATAAAACCAACTCTCGACCCCATTTTCTCTGTAGCGACCCCCGAAAACAAATGCCTTTTGTTTTGGGGAATAAAATGAATCTCCTTTCTCATCATATATTTGAATTTTATTTTTGACTTGTTCTTGCATCACCCCAGCTCATAGAATGCCCAAACTGCTAGACACAAAATACCCCCCCCTCCTGCCATCACTCTGCTGAACACCTAATTCCCTCAGCACTATTTTAGGCTTAAAGATATTTACCCATATATGGTACTAGGCTGCATTGCTATTATCCTTCTCACCTTCCTCATCTTCTCATTTCTCACCTTTTCTCACCTTTCCTCCTGCTTTCTCCTACTGGTATCTTATGACCCAGGCCACCTATCACTTTGTTATTTGTATGTACATTGACAGTTTATGTAGCAGAGACAAATTCCTTGTGTGTTCAATCAAACTTAGCCAATTCTTCCCTCTCTCTCTCTCTTCCCTATCCATATCCCTATCGTATTCTATTTATTCTATTCCATTCCTATTCTACTTCTATCCCATCCCTTTCCTATTCTATTCCTATTCCATTCCTATTTCTATTCCTATCCCATCCCTTTCCTATTCTATTCTATTTCCTATTCTAATCTGTTCCATTCCATTCCTATTCTATTCCATTCCTATTCTATTCCTATTTCTATTCTTAT